TGGGGTTAGAGGTATTCTATAGTCTGATGTGAGCTCTTCCAGAAAATTCTCAGCCATTATCTCTTCAAATATGTTTCTGTTGCATCTTGCTTCTCTTACTGGGGCTCCAGTTGCAAGTATATTAGACCTTTACTTTGTGCCACATATCTCTTAGGCATTTTGATGTGTTTTCCATCCTTTGTTCTTTTTCTATTTCAGTCTGGATATTTCTCACTGACCTATCATCAGGTTTACTAATCATCTCTTCAGTTGAATCTAACCTGCTATTAAATCCAATTATATATATTTTCTAAGATTTTTTTTTCTACTCAGTTTTACGGCTGTGCTGTTCCTTTCTTTTGTGAAAGGTTATTTAGCCCATGACTTATGCCTCTGTGATGATGAGTCACATTGTGTCTCTACTTACATTGTACTGACAATGTAGTGATGATTTTACTTATACTTACTCCATGAATAGAGTGACCATATCCTGGATGCTGAAGAGCTAAATTACCACTAATAAGACCAATACCAAAATGCAGATAAATTGTCAGGAACAAGTTCAGCCAGAATTGATCTGGGAATCAATTGTATTCCCAATTGTTATTATTGTTTGTAATGCAATAAAAAGCATTTTTAATGAAGAGACAAGAATACTAGGGCATGCATGACATCTCAGGAAAATAAGCCACATTTTAGGATTTACCAGATATTACCAAATTTTTTTGTATAATCTGAGTACAGTTCAGATGCTGTATTATTTTAGCTAGCTACTTAGGATATTGCTATAGGAATTGTGTGGCATGGCTCTTCAGGAAGCAAGAAAATAGTGGGAGAAAAATTTGAATACTGAGCACCATTCAGTTAGCATTGTTTTTTGTTTTTTATAAGTTTATTTATTTATTTTTGGCTGTGTTGGGTCTTTGTTGCTACACGCAGGCTTTCTCTAGTTGCGGTGAGCGGGGGCTGCTCTTTGTTGTGGTATGCAGGCTTCTCATTGCGGTGGCTTCTCTTGTTGCAGAGCACAGGCTCTAGGCACGCGGGCTTCAGTAGTTGTGACACGCGGGCTCAGTATTTGTGGCTCACAGGCTCTAGAGCACAGGCTCAGTAGTTACGGTACTCAGGCTTAGTTGCTCCACAGCATGTGGGATCTTCCCGGACCAGGGCTCGAACCCGTGTCCCCTGCACTGGCAGGTGGATTCTTAACCACTGCGCCAACAGGGAAGTCCCCAATTAGAATTCTTTTTGTTTTATTTTATTTTATTTGAGTCCCTAACTTGTACTCATGTATTTTGTGCTAACAGAAATACAGAGATACAATTTCTGGTCTAAAAAATCATAACATCTAATGGGGAGAGTAAAAGAAATAGGGCACATTTTTTAAAAAAGGAAAGAAAAAAGAAAGCAGAGTGAAATATATGCCACAAGAGACATACAAATAAAGCACTCCAGGTTTAAAAGAGAGTAGGGACTCAAATTATGGAAGATCACATCTAAGTGATCTGTGATGTGTCCTAAGTGGGAGAATCTGTGCATAGAGAGGGGAGTCAGGGGAGAGAGGGATGGAAGAGGAATTTGAATGGTGTTGAATGCTAGGCAGTCATAGTTTATTTCAAGACATAATGGATGATGTTTCTAATCAAGGTAATTGTATGAGTAGAGCTATACTTTAGAAAAATCACGTTAGCTTTATAATGTGGAGTAGATGAGAATGAGAGGAGACAGGAAATAAGAGTTAGGAAGCTTTTGTAATAGCTGGGGTGGCAGTGGAAAGAGGAAGCAAAGATAAGACTTGAGGGGTTCTATAGCTTGCCTACAAGGGTGAAGAGTGGTCTTGGGTCTTGTGTCCTTAGTACTTAATTTAGTCCCTGGGAAATTTCCTAGTGTTCCTATTTTTAAAGCTATAATTTCAGAAGTGATCTGGAAGTGGGAATAAATATTTACTACTGGGAAAATCTTGACTCCATGATTGTTGACCTCAATATCATTGATCTCAGGCATAGATGACCCACCGCTGGCATTCTCTGCTCCCATGCCATGTGGCTAAAGATTCCTGTAAGATGTCATAAAATAATACTATTGGGTTACCTGAAAATTTGTGCAATATAACTAGGTCATTTGTAGTGCTCAGACCTTTATCTCATTTTTTTCTTACTTTCTGTGACTTTTCCTGAGGCTACAAGTTATGAGTGGGAGATGGTGGAAAGTCACTGGGGCATGTATTTTAAAGATGGTGACAAGCGTAATGTAGATTTTGGAGGTATTTGGAAAAAGGAGTGGTTAAGGAACTGGAGGTCATAACTGAAGAGGACAGTTACATGGATTCAGTAGACAGGGAATGTGAATAGGTTAAAGAGGATTCTTGTACTCAGAAGTAAATTTGTAGGTGAAGATTTTAGACGTTTAACAGTTTGAAGTGTTGAGGTCTGCTCTGGGTGTCAAATACACTAAATACACCTCTACTCGTGGCCATAGGATTTGTGCTCCGAACACCAAATTGATTCCACATCAAAACTGCATCTGTCATTGACAAAAGTAATTCTTTGAGGACGGTCATGTTTGACATCCCTTTTAGTCCTATACTATCAGAATTGTGTTTTATCTCTAATTTTTGGAGGTTTTTTGTTTGTATAGAGTATGGAAAACAGCATTGTGAGAAAAAATACAAAATATTTTCATATTTGATGGTAGAGTCATTTCTAAATCATTGTAACTTGAGCCAAAATGGTGTGCCACAGGTTTATTAACCCTTGTTGGTCTGGCAGCGATGCAAAAGTTCTTATTATACTTACCCTGTGGCCAAGTGAATGTAGATGATTTTTGAAAGTTATCAAATGGTCTTCAATTTTTTTCCTTATAACTCTTCTTGGTTTTCATTAGTCTTAGTTTTCTAGCTCATGACTCTTCATGTTTATATGCTTCAGCATGTCTTTTGTTCCACGCGGATTGTTTACTGTAGTGAAAAGTGTCATATATACATTCAGACCAAGAAATAAAAGTTAGCCAGCATTCTTGAAACCCGTGTGAAATCTTCCCTCTGTAGCTGGAATTAGTTCCTTTTCATTGCTTTATAGTACTGATGGTTTTAATGTACCACGACAAATTAATCTATTGATGAATGTTTGTTTTTCCAGTTTAGGGCTCTTATGTAAACTGCTGCTGTGGATATTGTTTTATTAAAAGTAATAGACTTAACTTTTAATTATTTTTTATTGAGGTATAATTGACATAACATTTTTAGTTTCAGTTGTACATTATTTGATATTTGTGTGTACTGTGAAGTGATCACCACAATAAGTCTAGTTAACATCCATCATCACCAGTTATAATTTTTTTTATGATAAGAACTTTCAAGATCTGTTAGCAACTTTCAAATCTGCAATACAGTATTATTAACTACAGTCCTCATACTGTACATTACATGATTTACTTTGTAACTATAAGTTTGTACCTTATGGCCCCTTTCATGCATTTCTCCTACCTCCACTCTCCAGCCTCTGGCAACCACCAATCTGTTCTCTGTATCTATGTGCTTGTTTTTCTTGCTTTTAGATTCTACATAGAATTGAGATCATATGGTTTTTGTCTTTCTCCGTCTGACTTATTTCATATAGCATAATTCCCTCAAGGTCCATCCATGTTGTTGCAAATAGCAAGACTCCCTTCTTTTTTATGGCTGAATATTCCATCCGTGGATACTTAGGTTGTTTCCGTATGTGACTTTTGTAAATAATGCTGAAATGAACATGGGGATAGTCATCCTTCAGTATCCTAGGGGCGTTGGTTCCGGGGACCCCCATGGATACCAAAATATGCAGATACTCAAGTCCCTTACATAAAAGGCATAGTATTTGCATATAACCCATATACATCCTCCCTTATACTTTAAATTATCTCTAGATTACTTAAAGTACCTACTACAATATAAGTGATAATAGTTGTAAGTGTAAATAGTTGTAAATGTCTTTTTTTATAATAGCCTTTTTTACAGGTGTGGTGATATTATTTCACTGTGGTTTTGATTTGTATTTCCCTGGTAATTAGTGATTTTGAACACCTCCTGTACCAGTTGGTCATTTGTATGTCTTCTTGGGAAAAACGTCTATTTATCTCCTCTGCCTTTTTGGTTTTTTTTTTTTTTTTTGCAGTACGCGGGCCTCTCACTGCTGTGGCCTCTCCTGTTACGGAGCACAGGCTCCGGACGCGCAGGCTCGGCCATGGCTCACGGGCCCAGCCGCTCTACAGCATGTGGGATCTTCCCGGCCCGGGGCACGATCCCCTGTCCCCTGCATCGGCAGGCGGACTCTCAACCACTGCGCTACCAGGGAAGCCCTCCTCTGCCCATTTTTTAATTGGATTGGGTTTTATTTTTTTCTTTGCTATATATTAACCCCTTAGCAGATACATGATTTGCAAATATTTTCTCCCATTTGGTAGGTTTTGCCTTTTCACTGTGTTGATTGTTTCCTTTACTGTGCAAAAGCTTTTTAGTTTGATGTAGTCTCACTTGTTTGTTTTTGCTTTTCTACCCTTTTTATGGCTTGGATATGGTAGAGTGATCTTTATTTATGCCTGATATTTTATCTTATAATTGAGATTTCATCTTCTGCCTTTAAATATTCAAAGCTTTAATTAACTCTTTAATATTGTCTAGTTTGAGACCACAAAAATAATACCTATATGAGCATCATCACTAACTGGTAACATTAAATACTGCATAATAATGTTTATGTAACTGTCTTCATATGTACATCTTCAGAGGAGAAACAATGTTTTAGTAATCTTAAATACCTGCTTAATATGACAGCACCAGAGATACAGGGGAATCTGAATAAATGCTTTAACTATTTATAAAAATATTTTTTGGAGACATGACAAAACAGTTGGTATCACATGTAAGTTTTTTTAAATGAATGATTCTTTTACAACATGGTAAGAGTAAGTTTTCATATGTCCTTCCTGCATCACCAAATGCTGATCATTTCAGAATGAATAGCAATATGCCATTTCAGGGATCAGTGTCATTTACGGATGTGACTGTGGACTTCACCCAGGAGGAATGGGAGCAACTGGACCCCTCCCAGAGGATCCTCTACATGGACGTGATGCTGGAGAATTACAGCAACTTACTATCAGTGGGTAAGGACAGCTTTCAGGTGTAGTTCGCAGTTCAATGTTGCCTAGTAGTGTTTAGGTCCTTTCTCAGTTACCAAAAATTATAAGATTCTGAATTGCTAAATGGTTTTGGTGTCAAGCTTCATGTATTTAAGCTGAGAGAGAGTGCAGACTCTGAAGTTCTACCTTCTTTATTTTCAGGCTTTCTGAAGTCCAAGCAGTTAGGAGCTGTGTTCCATTATCAAGTTCTCTGATATTATCAAACCAGATTTTCATGTTGGATCAGTGAGAAGAGTTATGGATACCAGAGTTAGAATTTCCAGTTCACAACTTTCTAGGGAAGATGTGGAAGGTCGGAAGGAGAATCAGATAGAAGCCAGTGGAAGTAATATCCTAGAGATTGTGAATGGGTTGGTATCTTTGAAATATTTTTTAGGAATCTATTTTTCAAATCCCTAAACCTTTAGAGGTAGCTGAGAACAGATGACTTGTGCACCTCATATCCTGAGTCATACCTCCAGATATCAGTCTCTTGCTGCTTAACGTTTTTCCTGTTTAATTTCTATAGCTTTTCACCTCTCACACTCAAGCCTTGATTCTTGCCTAACATGTTTTAAACCTTTGTTCAGTGATTAGTTCCTCTTTCATTAGTATTCTCACTTAGCCAGAATGGTGACTTCTATATTTTAGGTCATGGGAATTGGCTTAGTAGCCTCAAGGAAAATACAAACTTTTCAGTACAAGAGTGATGCAAATGGCAGCAGGATCACAAGAGTCAGGAATAACCAGTAATACAGAGATCAGAGTAAAGGTTCTTTAAGCATAGCTTGAGGCCGGGTAAATTTGATCCTTAAGATTCCTTCAAATAAAAGCAGGGACAAGATTGGTTTGAGGAAGAAATTAAACACATGAAAAGGAGAAATACAGGATACAGTGATGGAAACACTTTCTCTCTCCAACAACTTCAATAGAAAAAGTAGTGCAACCCGCAGTAGCAGTGAGCAATTCTGTCAAAAATATCTTAGATCCGTTTTATATTTCCTACAGAATCTATGAATTTCTGGATTTTGCCTTCCACTTGGAAAAGTCCTACTTGGGAGATTTGGAGCTCTGCATAGGGTTCTCTCTGCAAACCTGTGAGAAAGGTTGCCTTTAGGATGTTATTGGTGCAGATGAAAGAAGGAGAGAAAAGGGGAAGGAGCCTCGAGCATGTAGGTGAGGTGGCCATCCGACCACAGTAATTCAGAGTCTCAGTGTTGGCTGCTCAACTTAGACCTGCCTGGGTTTTTTCCCTTAACATTTCCTTATTTTCTTGGTCTGTACCAACTGGTGTCCTTGAGGACACCAAATAGACTTTGTCTCTGGAATTGCCAGCCTTCTTACATCATTTGTTTTTATTTATTTCCCTTCACCCACTTTTAAGGCCGTTTTGTAATCTGGCAGTGCTATTTGTGCCCATTTTGCCACAGGCTTTGTCTTTTTCTTTCAGAGTTTAAGAGCTAGGAGCACTTGGAACTGGGGACTTTTTTATACTGGAAGACTGGGTCCCAAACTAAAGAGGTAGCCCTACAATGGAACATTTGTGGAGTCTTCACATTCCGTAACATTGTGGTGAAAGGGTTGACAGATATTTCATGTGCTCTTTCCTAGAGGTATGGAAGGCTGATGACCAGATGGAGAGGGACCACAGAAACCCAGATGAGCAGGCAAGGCCATTTATAATCTTTAAGAACCAAACCCCAATTGAAGAAAGAGATAATCTCTTTGGCAAAACATTTAATCTTAGCACAGACTTTGTTTCTTTAAGACAAGTACCCTATAAATATGACTTATATGAAAAAACTTTGAGATATAATTCAGACTTACTTACTAGCGATAGAAGCTATATAAGAAAGAAAGACGACGACTGTAATGGATTTGGAAAAGCACTCCTCTATCTGAAGCAAGAGAAAACCCATACTGGAGTGGAATACTCTGAATATAATAGAAGTGGAAAAGCCTTCAGCCATAAAGAAGGCATTTTTAAACACCAGAAAATCAGAAATTTGGTGCAACCTTTTATCTGTAATTATTGTGACAAGGCATTCTCATTTAAATCACTCCTTATTAGTCATAAGAGAATACATACTGGAGAAAAACCTTATGAATGTAACGTGTGTAAGAAAACCTTCTCCCATAAGGCAAACCTCATTAAACATCAGAGAATCCATACTGGGGAGAAACCCTTTGAATGTCTTGAATGTGGAAAAGCTTTCACCCACCAGTCAAACCTCATTGTACACCAGCGAGCACATATGGAGAAGAAGCCCTACGAATGCAGTGAATGTGGCAAGACCTTTGCCCAGAAATTTGAACTTACTACACACCAGAGAATTCATACTGGAGAACGACCCTATGAGTGTAATGAATGCGCCAAAACCTTCTTCAAGAAATCAAACCTCATTATACACCAGAAAATTCACACAGGGGAGAAACGCTATGAGTGCAGTGAATGTGGAAAATCCTTTATCCAGAACTCACAACTCATTATACATATGAGAACTCATACCGGAGAAAAACCCTATGAATGTACTGAATGCGGCAAAACATTCAGCCAGAGGTCAACTCTTAGATTACATTTGCGAATCCACACAGGAGAGAAACCATATGAGTGTTCTGAATGTGGGAAGGCCTTCAGCAGGAAGTCCCGACTCAGTGTCCATCAGAGGGTTCATACCGGGGATAAACCCTGAGACTGCAGCCAGGTTGTACTGTGAGAACCCTTCCAATAGGGAGAAACCTTGCAAAGGTGCTGAAGGAACATGGGAACTCATACTGAGAGACAATCTGTCAACTCAAAGTGTGTAAAAATGAGGTCCCCTAAGAACAATATTGTACTGATAGTTAGGTATATGATACCCAACTAAAGAATACATATCAGAATATATCCAATTGTAAATAGACGTACTTGGCTGTATTACAGTGAGTTTTTTAAAATCTTGAATAATTCATTCAATAATGAAATATTCTGGGCAGCAAGCAGCATAAAGGAGCTAGAGACAGTACCCTAGGAATTGAGTGGTTATGTGTGAGAATATGCCACCAAAAAAAACTGTATTTTAGATCTGCACATGTAAATTTAACAGACACTAAGAGTTTGGAATTCTTGTCTTGATAATCAAATTAGGACACATCAAACATGATTTTCCATACTGAACATGTGTTTTTCAGTACCTTTACAATCCTGTCTGCATTCCAGATGAAACACATAACAGATTTCCATAGCATGTAGCATATGTTTTCTCCTCCTCCTTGCTGGCATATATAAGTTGGTATGACCATTGTTATTGAGCTGCCTCTTCAATCAACAGAAGACAATGTTGTTGAAGTTTTAACCTGGGTTTGCTGAAGATTTCCTAGAAGTATTATTGACATAAATATGCAAGTGTGAGATAATTAAGAGAGACTGAAGAGTGAAAGGCAGCAGATGTGGGTTCTGTCACTCAGTGTGCACCAGGGAATAAATGGGCTGTGTAAAGCATAGCCACACCCATCATGCTCTTGTTATTTTCCACTGGGATATTTACATACAAATGCAAATGCATGTCTTTTACCAAAATATTGTATAACCCAGAAACTACATGTATTTTTGGGTGTTTCGCTATTTCCCTTAATATTTTATAAATTGTCTTGCAAAAAATAGGATGCATATGTAGTTCAAATGTTACATTTCAGAGACTTTAGAGGAAAAATAATTTAAGAAACTGTCAATAAATGTCTTATATTGCTTTTTAAATTTTCCATGTGCTTAGTCCACTTTAGAAATAAATTTTTGCAGAATTCTCTTTAAAGGAGGCATTTCTTCCATGAATTTCACTATCATCAACCAAAAGCATTTCCCTTTGGAACCTGACTTAGCGTAAGTTACAACTTTGCTTTAAAGGCTCACAAACACTTCATAAATTAGACTTTAGTGATCTCCCCATATATTGATTATTAACCTTTAAAAATTTATTTTTGCATAACTCAAAGATTCCATTTTAGGCTTCATTTCAAATTCACCAGTTCCTGTCCTTATCCATCACAAATCATGCATTAGAATTGTAAATGGCCACTGTAACTGGCCTTTTTTTCTTTTGTTTTTGAAGATTATTGATGTGCTATGACTGTATATGAATGTGAATGATTTTTCTGAACAAATTTATCAGAATATCCGTAGTCCAGTAAGTCTTTGTCTTTCTAAATTGTCATCTTATCTATAATAATGGCAAGGAAGCAAGGGAAGAGGTTAACTTCCTACACTGCTGTTAGAAATGCAAATTGTGACAACCTCCTTGGAAATAATTGACTCTGTCTTCTAACGTTAAGAACACACATGCAGTTGGCTCTTGAACAGCACCAGTTTAATATGCGCAGGTCTGCTTATACACGGATTGTTTTCAGTAAATGCTACAGTCCTACACAATCCATGGTTGGTTGAATCTGTAGATGCAGAACCTTGGATACGGAGGACTGACTTTATACTTGGGTTTTCGACTACACTGAAAATCCGTGCCTTTAACCCCTGTGTTATTCAAGGGCCAACTGTACTCTTCAACCCAGCAGACTCACTTCTGGGAATCCATCACTAAGAAAAAAAATAACGTGCCAGGACCTAAGACTATGTGTTTATCAATGTATATTGTAGTTTTTGGTAAGGACAAAAAAGGAAACAATGTGAATGACCATCAGTAAGGGAATGATTGAACAAACTGTGGTAAAGATATACCACAGCTGGACAGTATTCCATAGGAAAGAGCGTTTAGGGGCAAATGCCACCAAGACAGATGGGGGGAGGGGGGAGAGAAAAAGTGTGTGTGCGTGCCTCTGTGTGTGTGTGTGTGTGTGTGTGTGTGTGTGTGTACACCAAATTTTGTAAAATAAAAATCTAAAAATGTTGTGTTTATGTGTATTTGTATACGATTTTATGGGCCTGGAGAGTAGAATTCTCCAAAGTCAAAAATATAATTAACATTAATTTCAATGGAAAATTTTTCATGCATTCCTTAGTCTCTAACATTTGTTTATTCTGGAATACCAACATAACCCATTTAAGTGGACACAGTTAACTAACATGAGTTAACATAGCATGACATAAAGCAGTTCCCTTACTCTGTACGGTGGCCGGCTGCTGTGTTCTGCTCCAGCTTTCATGGCTGTGTTGTAGTCTTGAGCCTGGGTTCTCAACTAAAACACATATTTGACATTGTTGACATGATGGAACCTTTAATACAAAAAAAAAAGACTAGTAAAGACAGAAAAACCAATGAAAAAAATGCAGGGAATGCCAAGGGTATCATTACTCTAAATTAGCAAATAACAAATGCTTTGAGAAAATTCAGCATAAACACCTTTACAATTAAACAAATGACCATAGGGGTGACTGTCCTTTCATGAGCTGTTTGCTCCCAAGGCCTTAGAAATCCAGATCAGAACTCATAATTTTTTTAAAAAGTGCCTTGTAATCCTCATATACAGAAGTGGTCTTAGAGGAGGAGACTCCTGAAGACGAGTTCTTATAGCCTGGACATATGACTTTATTTCACCAACCTTACAGCAAGCTAGAAGGCAAGTTGTCATTTCACTGGTGAGGTGCAGGCCAAGAGGCGGGACAGTTTGCACAACAAATTCTACCTGTCTGACTCCAAAACCCATGCCCACTTACTTGACCCCGTGACATCTTCACTCCACTGATTTTTTTTTTTAATGTATTTATTTTTGGCTGTGTTGGGTCTTCGTTGCTGCACACGGGCTTTCTCTAGTTGCTGCGAGCGGGGGCTACTCTTCGTTGCTGTGTACGGGCTTCTCATTGCAGTGGCTTCTCTTGTTGCGGAGCATGGGCTCTAGGTGCGCAGGCTCAGTGGTTGTGGCTCACAGGCTTAGTTGCTCCGCAGCATGTGGGATCTTCCCGGCCCAGGGCTTGAATCCATGTCCCCTGCATTGGCAGGCGGATTCTTAACCACTGCGCCACCAGGGAAGTCCCCACTCCACTGATTTTAATTAGACATTTTCTTTCCATTTCCATAGATATCTTTTTCATAACTAGAGTGCTTAAGTATTTTAACTTTTCCACATTGTTTTATGCTCTATAAATCTAAAGTTGGGAACATCTTGGTATAAAGCCAGTGTGGCTAAATGGAATTGGTGTCACTCTACTGTTGGTATCAGGACTAGTCAAATGGGGCATAAGGTGACAGCACCATAGGCAGGAGGCACAAAGCTCGCAAAGACATGGAAATGTGAGACACTGGGTCCTCCTCAGGAGGTGGGGGCTTCGTGGGGTGCTGCTGGAGGTTTAGTCCCAGCCACCCCTGCTGTCTCCCCTGTCACATTCACTACTCTCGCCCACAGTCCATCTTCATCTCTTCAGCTGAGTGACCTACATAGAGCCCTGTGCCATCCCCAGGCCGTGTGTGGCTCAACCCCTTACCTGATTGTCACAGCAAATCCTGCTGGCCAAAGTACAGTGGACTCTTGGGACCTGGTCTCCACTCGACAGTCTTGCGACTTCATCCGGTCTGTTCTCTGGTGTTTGGAGAAGGAAACTCCATAGCTCATCCTGCTGAGCACAGTCAGGGAACCACGGCTGGGATCCCTCTGCTTAATTTTCCAGACCTCAGCTGGATGGTAGTGACCATCTTCTCCTCAGGTCTTAGCTCTCCTCCTGCCCCCAGAGAGAGGCTGCCCTTCTGCCTCAGACACACACATTGAATCATTTCATGTGTGACACATGTTTTAGTAATGTAGAACCCACCTTCCTCGGTAGTATAAGGACTGTCAGAATGTTAAACAAAATGCAACTAACAAGCCAAAACATATAAAAATGTTAGGGACTCGTGTGAAAGAACCCAGAGATGGGTACTGAAGAACCTAAGGGAGCATAAAACCCCATGAGACATCTGGACCATGGCTACTGACACCAATCATGGCAGCAGATGAGGAGACATTCATTCCAAAAAGACACTGTAAGCACCAACAAGGGAGCAGGCACTGTGGGCTTCTGGGGATATGCTGGTGAACAAGATAATACTATGACAGAGGACTCCTGCCCTTGGGGCATTTACATATGAGCAGCGCATCTCAGGAGCAGACAGACAACCCAGGCAGAGGATAGGTTCCCTGAAGCTGGAAATGCAGGTATGGGCTGGGCCTGTCCCTGTGAGAAAAATGAGAAGCCATAGTAGGGTCTTAAATAAGAAGTAGCAGCATCTGCTTTTTAAAAAGTAAATGAGCTTGATACTAACTGGGAGGAGAATTTGGGTAGAGCTGCCCAGAAGCAGAAACCCCCTCTCAGGAAGAGAAGCCTAAGAGATGGCGTTCTGCCAATTCATAGCTCCCATCTGACTGCTTTCAACAAAACTCCTTCAGAGAGTAAGCAGTGTTTCCTCCTGTTACTGACTGTTGGCAATTAGTGAGAAACCATCTTGCAAGGATCCAGGTTCACTTCCTTCTGCCTTCCTAGATCTGTTCCTAGTGTCTTCTGGTGTTTTCCCTATTCCTCCTGCCTCCAGCCTATCCAGACCCCTGAGGATTACCTATGTCCACCTCAGAACTGTGGAATTCCATGCCCTGAAAAACATTTACAGTAGTTCATGCAGGTTGTTTGGGGGTGGAGCTGACATTAGCACTTTTCCTTTGTCTGGTTGATGCTGAATGTGGGAGGAGGAAGTTATTCTGTGTCCCTGCAGGTTGCTGAGGCCATTACTGAAAGTGAGAAAACTTGGGGCAACAGGTGGGGCTTGATACATCTTAGGGAGATGAAGAGACACCAGGGCTGAGCAGAGACTGCCCCCTGAGATACGGGGAGTCCTGTCATGCGGGAAGTATGCACTTGAAGATAGCAGGAGGCCTGTGGGACTGTGGCCTCAGATTATTTTGCTCAGAGCAACAGACGGTATAATGCTGAAAACAAGCCAGGCTTTGTCTGTGATGAGGACCTACGGGCGGGCCTGGCTCTGATCAGCTGATTTGGCTCTTCTGGGTACAAGAGCAGCCTGAAGGGTAGGCACCGGACGGCTGAGCCTGAGTAAGGAAGAGGCAGCTGCGGGTTGCCCTGCTGAGACAAAAACTTTCATCGATGGAGCAGGCAACCTAGAGGAGCGGGTGGAAAAACGTGACCTCAAGGGGGTCAAGCTGGTGAGGATGTCAGTATGGCTCCCCTGTGGCCTCAGGAGGTCAAACAACAACAATAGCGACTGCCACCAGACCAGTAGTCGTAGTGGTCATAATAGTGAGACAAGCTGGGACCTGGGACCCTGGGCTGCAGTGCTTACACCTGGACAAACGTCTCCTGGAGCAACAAAATACGAAGAAATTATAAGGGACTAAAAACCCTGTGCTCGCACAGTTTGGGCAAATTATGGACAACAAGGTACAAAAAGACAAAACCAAACCAAACCCAACTGCCACTTCTGAAGAGCTGGGAGCAAAAACAGGGTGTTGGGAGCAAAAGCAGGGTCCTGCGCATGCCCCCTGCACTCACCACCACCAGAGAGGGGGCAGACCAGCTAAGCCACCCCTCCAGCGTGACCCCTGGACACACCCCTACCCTCACCTCATATAAGGAACCAGCTTGCCCCCCCCCTTTATGGAGCGAGAAGGGGAACCTGTTACTTTTTCTCGCTCCCTCCTGCTGCAGCAGGGGCCCCAGTAAAGCCTTGCCTGAATTTCTTGTCTGGCCCCTATTGATTGGGGAAGGCCAAGAACCCTGTTCTGTATCAGACTTAGTGGCACCCATCGTGGGGCACTTGGCCCACGTTGTTCCAGGGAGAGGATCTGGGCACCTCCAGGACCACCGAATGCAGCTTCCCTGTGAGTGGCAAGTGGCCACCTGAACGTCTTGTGTCAGCATCACCACATTTGGTAAGTCTGCCTTCCTGGCCCCTGGGGGCCTCAGTACCCTCATTCAGGCAACGCTTTCCCCTCCCCTTTGTCCATTTCCCTCTCCTGAAATCTCTCTACTTCTCCTTTCTCTGTCCTCTCCTACTTCTGTCCTGTGGTTCCGAGAGAGTGGATGTTGGGCAGCTACAGCATCACTCCTCCCAGCTTCTGAGACCTGCTCCCTCTGGCCGGCAGTGGCTCACCTTCATGGGTGACAAGCAGAGGTGGGAGAGGCTCGCCCCACACCATGCCGACACTGGTCCAGCAGGCTCTGCTTGATGGGAGATTTATGAACGATAGAGGTTCAAACCTCATATTGTGTACTGGCTGGAAGTCCTATCGTCCCAGTATTCCCACCTTTACTACTGTCTCTCTCTCTTTTTCAGTCTTTTCTGTTCCTCCTCCCTTTACTTCTCCATTGATCCTTATACCCGCACTCCCATCCCCTTTATCCTGAAAACTTCTTGTTTGTGTCTTTAAGTTTTTGTCATTGGTGTCTTTGTTTCATGTAGTTTTGTCTGTCCAGCTGCTCCTGCAAGTCTCTGCTGAAATTGTGGGCACGATGGAGCATTTAAGCCTTGAAATACAAATACAGCCCACATTACCTGAGACTCCAGCCTTGGGTTACTTGGTGGGATTTTAAAGAGCAAAAAAGAAAAGAGAGGCGCTTGCATTTCTCTCCTCTGCCTTTGCAATGTAGCTATTCTGCCTGGGCTCTCAGGAACTACCTGATCCATCTGTAGTCCCCCAGACTGAGGGAAAAAAGAGAGGCCTTTTTAAATTCAAGCAGGAACACCATGAGGTCTCTGGTTCTGTCTGTCTTTATGTAAGAACTAACTTGTAAATGAGTTGTATTTAATTGGCTTAACAGAAAGTAAGCACTTAAATGCATTCTCAAAAATAATTTTTAAAAAACTCAACAGAATACTTTTCAGGTTCATGGGATCTGGGAAATATTCAATATTGAATTAATATCTG